GCAGGAAACAGCATAAAAAACAAGAGAACTTATTCTTGTAAAGAACAAAACTGCAAGCTGAGAGTAATATCTTGTGAGAAATGGTCTCAAACAACGGAGGATGTTAACCCCCTAACAACACTAGACCAAAAAGCTTTAGCGAAGGCTGTTAAATGTTTTCCAACCTCAGATACCATTTAGAAACCAGAAAATAAAGCCCAGCATCAAAAGCTGTTGGTAAGCAGGAAAGAGAAGAGTATGGGGTGCAATTTGTAATAGGAACGTTCTCTCTCAGTTACTTCTCCTTCCTGATGCTTAGTGCTCAAATTACAGAACCCCTAGAGACTAAGGTAAATATCACTGAATACACTTGATACACATCAATGTTGTTCTCTTTGCATCATACTTCCTTAGAAACAACACCACACAAGAACAAACTCAATGAATATATAAGATTTTCTTAAAAAGCAGCCATCTTTTAGGCATCCCAATGGATCTTAACATAAACATCATTAAAGTTCTTAATCCACAATTTAAAGAAATTCCAAAACTACTCTGTGTTTTAGGACTACAGCTATGATATATGATCCACTAAGGTATAAGTCATGCAGAATATATCAATATCAGGCAGCCCTGGACACAGCCCATTTACCTACACTCACCTCTTCTTTATTTGCACTTCTACTCTAAATTAAGAGAAAGTTACTTTCCAGCAAAGAAGGATCAGGACAGATCAGAGAACAGCAGCTTTCAAGAACAAGGCACGAAGGGGGAAAAAGCCCGAACAAACAGGAAAAGAAAACTGAGGCACCTTATTCCAGGCAAACACCTCAGTTTTATCTTTCACCTCATGCAAATAGTATCATTTCACTGCTTAGTTAAACAACACCTCAATACCACGAAAGATAAGTCTTTAAGATGTAGCTGCCCCTAACTGGTTTTAATGACCTCAGTTCTCAAAAACTGCATTACCAGTAGATGTAAATCAAGAAAAGAAAACAGGGAAGAAATCCTGCTTTCCTTTCAGGTGCTCTTTCATGAGCTTCCAAAAGCATTTGAGTGGCACACCCCAGGGCAACTCCCTTCATCCTTCAGAAGGATGCAATGAGTACAATGCATTTCAGTGTAGCACATTTAGAACCTATACAAAGTTGCTGTACTAAAAACAAAAACAAAAAACCAAACCAAACCAAAACAAAACAGCCACCATCTACATTCACTCCTCTGAGAAGTCATTTTTTTTTCTGAACAGATTTTAAAACATCAATTACCATATTCATTATTATTGCCTCCAGTGAAAATGCTGCAACATCTTCCCTCCCTCAAATAAAAGGCAAATAACTTCTGTTTGATTATGGGAGGAAAAAACAAGAAGTTACCTGGGGATCCACTAACCATCCGTGGTACAAAGGGATGTCAAGAAGGTCAAACACTATGCATTCCGGTGTGTATTCAAACACTCGTACACCTGTAAACTTCACATTGACATCCAGACCTGTCTGTAACTTATGCAGAATCGCCATTGCATCGCTCATATTCTGACAGCAGAAAGAAAAGAAACACCAAATAGAGCTTTGTACACTTGGTGACTATGCATTAAGTCAATATTGCTAAAAAAAAAAATTAGAAAAGGGGAAAATTGCTAGAGAAACACTTCAATGCATATTTGTGTTACTTGTGCCACTGAAAGTAATATCAGAATATCAGAAAGTACATGAGGTGCTTGCAGAAGATTCAGAGGAACAGAGCAATTTTTGTTTGCTTGGTTTTGTAACATTTTGTTGCTTAAGAGGAATTCAGAATTGCAACAATGTTTTAAAAAAGAGCACAACAAAATGCAGAAGAAGAGACTGAAAAGAAAATGAAGACTAAAGTTTCACAGAGTCAACTCAATTATTATTATGGAGTTTCCTTTGTGTTATATTCCTTTATAAGACAGTTAACAAAAAGAAGCACAGTTAATGTAGTCATGAAGGGAAGAAAAATGTATGTGTATAACTGAGTACACAGGACAGGTTATGAAAGAGGTATTAAAGGTAGGCTAACACTGTAATCAGGGTATGGAGAGATGACATTTTATCACTTGGAAAGTACTTGCTGACTACAAAAAAAATGGAGTCTATTACACAATAACATAACCAATACGTTAATCTGAACACTCCTTTCTGCAGCACATTAATGGACAAATTAATTGAGGAGAACGTAATTGGCACTGTATGGCAGACCTCACTATTTGTCCAAAATCTAAGAAGACTGCCTGTGCATCTTGTGACTTGGTATTCTAAGGAACATACCAATTAAAGCATACAACACTAATAGATTAACTGCCATCAGCAGCTCTAAATAATCCAATTTTAACAGATCTGCATTTATCAGAAAGATGAAAGTTGGTTATTCTTGAAAAAGTTTCAGTCGTTCCTCCTTAGATGATGGAACCTTAAAACAAAAGGCGTGCATGAAAGCTGTAAGCAGACACACGTCAAACACCTCTGCCTACAGATCTCTGCACATTACTTTGTGCACACAGCAGCATGGCTTCATTACAGCACAAAGCAGAAATCCCACACTTGTTAACCTCAGCACTCACCAATTCCTCAGCTGGAGGAATTAAGCTACTCTTGCTGGTATGCAAGTTTTAATGTTTGGTTGGTTGGTTTTTGTTTTTTGTGTTTTTTGTTTTGTTTTGTTTTTTTTTACCAAAAATACAGTAGAACAAATTGGTTCTCAAGTAATATTTTAGATGCAACTCCTGAAAATTCCTCAAGTTTTTTAAAAAACAACAAGCACACAGCATCCACATTTGGAGAGTTTTCTATGAATCAGACAGACCTGCTGCCTGAAGCATTGCTGTGTGAACTTTCTATTACCAGGAAGGCAGCAGCTCAGACTACTTGAGTACATCCTGTTGCATCCTTTTGTCAACTTTGCAATGTCACAAAATTTAGAACATAGCAAGTTTCCTAAGAAATTCTCAGGATCAGGCTCAGACTTATACTGTTGCTTGTATTATTATAACTGCAGACAAAAACATCTTACTTTAGAAGCATGATTAATGAGTAGAGACCAGGTATCAAGTGCTAAATCCCATCAGAGGCGTTTTGTAACAAACAATATTATTCTGATTGTTGTAGAACAGCAAGAGCCTATGGCAAACCAGCACCAGTCATTCACACACATCAGATCATACATCCACAGCAATTAGTTGCACTTATTTTGCAATGTTTACTTTATAAATAAAGCAAAAATACATCAAGCTATCTGAAGAACTACACATTTCTCACTATAATCTGAAATGTACCATTTCAAAGTAACAGATTTCTAATAAATAAATGCAAATAAGTAAGGATAGAACTACACAACACCAGTGCATTGAGCAGCATTAAAACTTGATGCTTTACTGTTTTTAAGATCCATCTTTCATTTAAATACTTAGCTAATACTCTCAGGTACGCTGTTACTGGCAAGACAAATCACAGCTGCAACACAAAAAAAAAGCATCACAACATTATGCTAAAACTGCCCTAAAATCTAGCCTTACAAATCCAGGCATCCCAAAAAATTTCTTGTATTTCTTGTAACTTGTAAGAAAAAAACCACAACGTTTGGGTAAAGAATATTTCCTGTTACGATGCGATAAACACAGAACTATGATTAATGCCAAGACATAGTTCCAGTGCTTGTAAAACGTAATAATTTCATAAGACTTGCAGCCTAATTGGTTTCTTTTTCTCCTCTTATGCAGCATGACTTGTGCAACTAGAAAATACATATGAATGGGAACACTCCTAGAACAGTGGTTGTTTTTTAAAATTGCACAGTTGCACATTTACTGAACGTATTTGTGACATTTACTTAGTAAACTCATTTATTTGAGCAACTGAAAGCCATAGAGGTTGTACTTTCATATATATTTTTCTTTAATATATAATTTTCTTCAGCTCCTGGAAGTTGATTACTGCTATAATCTTTATCAGGAATACATGTAATCTTTTGTGGAGAGAAAAATAGCTAATTCAGTTATCACAAGCAGAATTCATGTCACTTGATACAAAGTATATATTGTATGATTCCAAAAACAATACATTCAATCTTCATTTTAATTTTAACTACCCCACGATACTTAGTTTGCTCCGAAAGTAATGCCTTCAATTTACTTCCAAGGAAACCATAACCAATACATAGAGCACAGTGACACTGCTTGACAAAGCAGACTCTCAGCTACAAAACACTTTTTCCAACAGTCAGCACCATTAGCTATGCATTTTCCAGCAGTGAAAAAGAGCTTGTGTACTGCGCTCACAGAAATCAGCAGCAGTGAGAAGAATATTGCTGTTTATTAATTGAATCAACCTCATGTTTCTCCATCACCGCTTAAAAGCAGGTCTCTTGTTTTGTCTGTACCCTCAGTTACAGCCTAGCAGAGATCACAGAACGCAGCGTGCTGAAGAACGCAAAACAGAAAATTCCAAAGTTACACACAAGTGCTACACACTTTCATGTGTTTTTCTATATTGTTCTTCATCAAAGGAACAAGATTCTTATATTACACACACCGCAAGAAAAAAAAAAACACAACAATTTGTGTGTTGAGATTGCAAATTTTTCTTCACTAATAGGAAATACTTATAATACTCCACAACAAGCCTAAAGAATAGGAAAAGTACTAACAATGGTTTGTAACAAATTGATAAACTTCAGGTGAGAAAAAAAGAAGCAGACACAAGCAGTTATATTTTAGGAGTAGCTTCTTACCTGCTCATAATTTAGACGCTGAATTTCAGATATCTCTTTGGGTTTTGCATCAAGAATATAATCTCCTAAAAAGGAAAAATAAAATCAAGCTTATTCAAGATTTCTGTGAATACTTATGACTGAAGCTAACTGATCATAAGTATTTTTTTCATTGAGTGAGATGCCACTGTTTTATGGCCTGGATTATAAGTATAGAGTAAAATACAAAAATATAAAATAATAGTAAGGTTATATATTGACAATTCCAATTCCAATGACAAGTGCAATTACTAAAACAGCATTCTATAATGACTTGACTAGCATCCCAGTCTCCTGATTATTCAGAAATTTACGTTCCCTCTGCGCCTTAAGTTAAAAATATAAATTCAAACCATTCACAAAAAGACATGGGATTGCATAATAAAATTTAACAAACACAAGCACTCATCCTGACCGACACTACAAAAATTTTGGCATATGTCTCCATACACTAGTAACCCTGAAAGGCTTGTATTCCACCTGTGCCTACGACATGAAGGTTATTAATCAGCTATGGAAGAATTATCAAACATGTTGACTCAACAGGAACCTCAAGAATTTGAGACAGTGATTTTGAAATTCGACTAAGATAATTCCAGAAAGTAATATACGACTTCAAAACAAGACACTCAGAGATACATGTTTAGCCAACTATGATTATGCACTAAGTTCAGACAGCATTATTCTATCAATATAACTAGAGTGATTAGACATGGGCAATGACAGTTCTTATTTAAAAAAACAAAAAAAACAAAAAAACAAAACATCTTTTTCTGCCATTGAAAGATTTAGTGATACATTTTTGAAAAGAAAAGCTACTTTCTTCACAAAAAAACTTGCTATATTTTCCTTCTCTCCTGCTTAAAAAAAAAATAAATAAATAAAATAAAATCAAACCCAGTTAGTATGTTAAGCTCAAACATTTTACATTTGTTAGGTTACAAAGAGCTGCAGTGCATATAGCTTAACAACTAAGGCAAATGCACTTTTAACACCTGGATCACTGTGGACTGCTGAAGTTACAGACTTGTCAGATGGAAACAGTTGCAGCTTTGCTGCAGACTGAATCTGGTAATGGAATGATGCCCACAAAGGAGAGACCCAGTCACCATGACAACTAAATTCATTTTTCATGTTATTTTAATTGGGTCATACTACCAAGGATTAACGTTACTGCTGACAGTTAAAGGCACAACTCCCTCACTCACTCCACTCTACGGTTTAGATTTACCAGCATGTTGGCATACTAAGCTAAGTAGTTTTCTTGAAATATACATTCAAATAAAGCTGAGTAAAAATAGTCAGTAAAAAAAGTAAGAGTCCTAATACTCACTAATAAGCATAATATGCAACAGAAAGCCATTGTGAACACTGGTCACTAACCTAAATATTCCATCAGCTGTTCAGCCGTTATGATTTCCATCATTGGTGGCAGTTTAACCTGTGAAAGTAAAAGTACATTGCCTGTAAGATTTCAAAACAACACAATGTAGAACTTAAGAACGACTTTTTAGCCCGAAGCTTTCTGATCACATTTGGCTCACTGATTTTTAAAAGCATTAGCCTACTTGGACTTCATTAAATAACAGCTGTGAAAAGAGAAGACAACATTTGAGTATTTGGAGGAACCATACACACACAACCCTTTCTTTCACTTGCAGGTCTGTGCACGGTGTTCCCTTCTCTCACCAAAGCCTCCCACCAGCAACCCCCTGACCTCATGGGAGTCTGCACTACTCGTTGCGCTAGCTCAGCTAAAGCACCCAGGATGAACAGACAGAGAACTGTGATCACAATTTGTTAAGAAAGTCACTTCTTTATATCTCCTAAGTGGTCTTAACTTGAAAGTTTCCTATGAACAGACAAGAGGCTGCAGAGAACCTAGCAGCAGCAGTTGCTGGAACAGGAAAGACAACGCTCATGCAGATTTGAGAAAATGACCTCCCAGCCTTTCATCCCATGCTCACACATCAAGGGTTTGATTTCACTCCAATACGGAGGAGACCAAGACCACACAACTCGGTAGTTGAACCTTCCATTCTCCCCAGTCCATTCCTGTCACCACCACTTGCTGGAACTAACCACTGTGGCAGCAGCTCAGACCCTCTTAGATACTCATCTCATCCATCCAGCATCCTGGTTAAATGATTTGGTTGCTCACCCCCATTTAGATATCTCCCTGCAATAAGAGCCCAAAAACACACAAAGCTATGTATATCAATATCTGCAGGAGTAACATTAGAGTCTTCAGTCCTGATGCTTTGGGTTGTTTTGTTGTTTTTTATTTATTTCCATTTAATTCCTCAGTGTTTCATCTTCTCATCTTCTCCTCTACATCATACTACAGAAAGTCAAGCAAATCTGGAATTTCAAGTACTAGGAGCTCTTTCAAAAAGAAATTCCTCAACTCCAAGCACAGAACTTGCAAGCATCTGGGGAAGAAAGGAAATGAAAGGACAAACAGAGAAGGCAAGGGAATTAAAGATTAGGGGGTTATAAATTGTTAGTAAAGCAGGAAATTAGTGAACCATAACTTTGCAAGAAAGAAGGCTTAATTAGTTCTGCTACTTGAAAAAAAACTCAAGATGATATGAATTAAACAAGAAGAAAAATCAGTCATGCATTCATAGGCATACGAACTTCTGAAAACATCTTTTAAATGAGAAACAACTGACTGTAACTTACAAAATGCCTTAACCTCTTCCCCAAATATAGGAAAGTTTAACTAATCTTTGAGCCTGCTCATAACATTCATTTTGAGTGTTCACATAAACAGAAAACATTGTGCCATGTTGATAAGAGGATTAAAGATTTAAAAAGCTGATTCTTACACACCCAGTTCTGAAGTGCAGCATTTAAGCCTGAGCAACCATCAGTTCTGCATGCTCTGGAGCCAGATAGAGCTGGGCTGGTTCACTGCTGCATGTCTAACAGCCCAGAACAGAAATACTTGAACCACCTACACCCAAAATGGTTCCAGGACTGTGAAAATTACAGCTACAATTAACTACAGTTGTATCTGCACCACATGAAGAAAAACTAGCACACTACCTCAGCTATTAGTAGGATTAGTGTGATGATTTCTTCAGGACTGAGGTTAGTATTTTGTTTGACTGGTTTTTTTTTAAACATAGATATCAACTTGGGGATTTCTGCTCCACACTGCTCTGAGGGACCTAGAAGCACACCTCCATTACCCACAGCAACTATAAAACATCATTACACGGTTTGCCGTTAAGTTCCACATATTTGTGGCATAAATATATTCATGTTTCATACTTCATTCATTACATGAGGTATTTGTATTATAAGTTTATAAATCTTGATTTTCTCTCAAACAGCAGTGGTCAGCAATTTCTTTTTTACTGAAGAACCAAATTAAAGTAATTTTACTCATGTCTGTACAATTTCCCATGGTCAGATGATTTAACAAGCTAAATCCCAACATTAACTGCTTAATTAAATGCTAAGCAAATCTTTCACAGCATAGTTTTAGACCTGCCATATTTCATGGGACCTCAATCAAACCTCTACAGTGGTCTAAGAGGTTCCAACATGGTCAGAAGTACTTTGGAACAGAACTGATCTGATATACAGAAAACATGACAACGCCAGCTGCTCAGTGCCTCACTGAACATTCTTAAGCTATAGGAAACATATCAAAGAGAACAAAAAAGAAAAGATACCTCCAAACTGCAATGGAAATAGAAAAACGACATAGAGCCAGTCACTCTAGGCATTTATTAGTAGAAGAAAGCAACAATAGATAAATCTGTTGTACAAAATAATCTGAAGGACAGAAAATTTACCAATAGGCCCCAAAGCGTCATTGCTAGAGTAGGAAAAAAGCACTTCCTCAGCTCCCACCCATTTCCCATACTTTTCTACTGCTGTTTCCTTGTCTTTCTTCCTAACACTAGCTAATTCTCTTTCTATTTTCCCTCCATTTCTTCAGAGTAAGAAACTAAATCTTCATTACCCAACTATGTGAGGTACAGATGAGTTACCTATGTAATTAAAAAGCAGTTGATAAATAAATTTTCATATTGAAGAGTTAGTTTGACAAAGCCTATATAGCTTCTGTGCATTAGACAATGACTGGAAAATTAAATTGTATCTTTAGATAATCTCCACTGTATACTCCAAGCTCTTCAAAAAGGCTTTAAAAATTAAGCAACATAGTCCTGTACTGAAACTAACACTTCCTAACAAGTTTGTGTTTGTGTATAGAAAAAGGGACCATAAAAATTTCTACTTACAGTTCCTAGTTATAGTTACACAGAATCACAGGAGTTGGAAGGGACCTTTGGAAATCACCCGGTCCATCCTCCTCACTAAACCACATTCCGCATAGTAGGTTAATGGGAAAGCAGCCAGGCACTTATTTGCTACTCCTGCAAATTCAGTGTTTGGGAAGAGGTAAGCATAGCTTCAACCCACCCCAGCAAAAGACGATTCATATTTTTTGCAAACACGCAGACTCATAGAATATCCTGGGTTGGAAGAGGCCCAAAAGGATTGAGTCCAGCTCCTGGCTCCACACAGGATCACTCACCTTTTGCCTTGCAGAGAAAGCTTCATAAACTTATCACGATTGCCTGACAGCTTTTGCTATCACCTGACAATTTTAGTATCTTCCTCCCCAATCAGGTTTTCTTCAGACCCCCAGAACAGTCTTCCTACTCTAGAAAACACAATTATAGGGCCACTGATTTGTAAGCTCAGCTCATCTCACAGATGCAGGGAGGAATGCTGCCAAGGCCTCTGCTGAGCACTCATCAGAAGCTCACTGGCATCTTGTCCTTGGAAGCTGAGTTCATACAAGCAATCTGTGCAAATTGTGGCCATCGGGAAGTTCAGCTCAGTAAAAAGCAGATCACACATATAGGGCCAATGCCAGGCGTCAAACTAAGCACTACCACTGCAGACTCCAACAAACCAAATGGGTATCAGCAGGAGCACACTGCACTGAGCTACTCTGAAAAGCAGGCCATTTTAGGAGAACCTCAAACAGAACATTTCCAGCGAGAAATTTTTTTACTCTACCTGTTCCTGCACCTCAGTTTGGATACATCTAAGCATAAGTGGTTATATAACGTTTACTTACGTAACTGTTAGTCATCTAAAGAGGCAGTTCATAGAGTTCTAGGTTACCAAATTTTAGAAGAACTATGTTCATGTAGGGAACATCATTCCCAAAACCTTCCTTTTGTTGGTAAGACTGTGATCTGCATAACTTTGAAAGATACTTTAATGATGTATACTACTGGAACTATTTTCCTACACAAAAACCTGTAACAAGAAGATATTCCACATGTACTCGCTTTCCAAGGCTTCAGTAATAATACTATTAATTCTATTTGTATTAAAATGTTTTCCCTTAGGCTTATTTTATATTCCAAAATGATGTGTCCTCTTTTCTCTGAATGTTTCAGGTATTTTCTGTGCACATCCCACCTCAGGAACACAGAGCAGAATTACACTGCACATTCACTAAGCTTTTAGCAACTGAAGATCACCACACAGTAGATCTTAAGACGAACACAGAATCACAGTTTAATGCAATTTCAGAAGGTACCAGAAAGCAACGAGTGGACTACACCTAACAAATACCACAAAAGCAAGCTCTGCACTGCAAAGTGGAAGCACATAGTTGGAGCCGTGAAGAAAAACTGCAAATCTGCAGACTGAAGTGAGCTGAAAGATGGTACTCAAAGCTGCTCTATACCAGAAAACCCTTTTTATTTCAATATTCTACTCCCATTTTCATTTCTATTGCAGAAGCCTATATTATTACCACACTACTTTGCACAACAGCTGCTTATCCAACTTTCTATCATATTGCTTTTGGTTACTTTTGATTCAGAGCATTTCTGTAACATTTCATTAATAACCCTTCAGCTCTATCTCCTAAGGGCTCCACAAGCAGTCTGCAGAGAGGAAAAAAAAAGATTCCATAATTTTAACATTTGGAAGTACAGCTTGCACAATCTGACACCACAGAGCTGTATGTTCAGACTCCCTTGGAAGCAGTGGATATGACAGGTAGCAATTTTACAAGTTTAGTTTCAAAAATCTGGTTCTATTAAAAGGTTATTGAAGAATCCCAATGTGTGCTACTACTTCAGAATTTCCAAAAACTCGCTGTGAAATCTCACAGGTAAAAATATACAGGTGCTGTACACTCAAAGAAACAATTATTTTGAAGCAGTCTTTAAACTTACATCACAAAATGAGGATGTTAAATCTAATTTCAAAAATACCTCCCAAAGATACTTTACAGTTGAGTAGTTGCTAAGAATTTTGTTCACTTAATGATCAAGATCTTCAAATTCACTAGGAATATTTACTTTGAACGTGCAACACACTTACTTCAAGTAGAAGAGATCTTCCTACATCCAGTTATTGAGATAAGCAAAGTAATAAACTACCTATAGCCCTCAGTAAGAGAGACAGACAAAAAAACTCTTCCAGAGGGCAAATGGAACACACAAACAGCAGATCACAAAGCTGTTAGCATGCAGAGGTAAGAACTTGAATTCTGTTGAGCTGAAACATCTGAAAAAGTGAGTTCTCAATATATCCAAGCATTTCACATTTTTTAAGGCACAAATGTTTCCATGATGATGGCTAAGACTATTAAGAAACAAATACCAATTTCAGTCCTAAACAAATTGACCACGTGCAGCAATGTGAATTCAAATTTCACTACTGCACAAGCACAACTAGTACACACAGTGATGGATCTCAAAGTTATCGCTCCCATTCTGGGATAAGTAAAGCACGTGATTGGACATTCTATTGGAAGTATTCATAAAAACCTAAGCACTAGTACTGTAATCATAATATTTTTCAGCTCTGAGCACTCACTCATATCATCTGAAGCCATATGAGACTTTTAGTCATCCTGTAGGAAAATACTAGAACTCCATTCTGATGGAGCTGTTGAATTAGGAAGGCTAGTGGCAAACACAGGGAAGAAGCACCAAGATGAAACTCTCTACCTTGCTATTCTCTATTCCAGCTTGATTTCCCCTCCACTACAGTCTTTTCCCACAGCCAAGTGGCTCCTCTCACCTGCCACATGCTCTGGTAACCCTACTCTGCCTTTGCCTATTTCTATCTCCTGGTTTGCTCCCTCATTCCCAATTTACGATTACATGACCCGATCTAGTGTCCATTTTGGTTCAGGAGAAGCGAGAACAATGTAGAAGCCCATTGTCAGCCTTGGTGTATAACTGGCAACTGACAGTGATGCACAGGTGAGCTGTCAAAAAGCTTGCCTCCGCAAACCATGTCAGCGTGGTTCTTGACTGTAAACTAGGGAAAAGAAAGGACAATTTGGAGAGGCCCTAAATAAAGGAACCAATTATAAGCAGGGGTGATATACAACCAACTAATCAGAAAATCCCAAAGCACATAAATAGTCATATAGTGGCAGCTCTACCTACAATGGTGACTTCCTGGCTGTTCGGAAGTCATATAAATTCTGCTGAGGTTTTACATAAACAGAATTATAGAAAACCCCTTCTATAATCCCAGCAACAGGAAACGTAAGAGCACTCCAACGAGGCTTTTTCATTTCGCTTACAAATTTTGATGGCACATTCATTCTTGCTAACATAGCATTTGATCAAAGCAGAACGTCAGATAAAGTTCTGGAATGGAAGGCAATAGAAGAAAGTAACTATATATTTATGGAAAGAAAGGAAGAACACTAAGGAACAAAACCTCTTAAAAATTAAGAGCAAATAACAAGGACAGTGATGTCCCATTTATGTCCTTTCATTAAATGAACACTTAAAAAGGTAAATCCTGGGACCAAACACATCTAAAACACCACCACCACAAAGAATGATGCTGAACCAGTTCTTCAAGGCCCTGCACTCACCTCTGTACATTAAAGAGGAAACGTACAAAGAAAATATTAAATACTGAAGTCTACAAAGATCTATCCGTCCTCCTGAGGTAGGCAAAACTTGCAAAAGACAACAGTTTTGTGCCATCCACAGCTCCCCTGTACTGCTCTCAGAAAGGTCTTAATAGCTACATCACATACCCACAGCATTCCTCCTGACCCACAAGCTGTTCTGCTCAGGAAAATGTACAGAGACAAAAAGCCCAAACTAACATTAACCTTCTGAAAGACTATCTCTGTGAAAAAATGCTTTCTTATTGGACAAAGGTCAAAATGAAAATACTATATTACCTGCTATATCTGTGAAAAGCCTCCAACCATTACGACACCTCATTTCCTTTCCTTTGATTCTACAAGAACAAAATACTCCCACGAAGTTTCCCTATTCTGAGGTCTCATCACCTCACCAATTCCTCAGGGTTGCATTAGCAACAGTTCTTGAGACCCCACTTCCTTGTCTTGTAAGGCACACATCTGATGGTACTTCTTTTACACAAACATCAACAGCTATAATATATCCCATAGTCGAGTTCTCTATTTTAAAGATTTAGTTACACAGGATTTCCTCTAAGACCCCAGGAAGTCACATGCACAACGACTACCAGACCATAGGAACTCCCAGGCCCCAAAGCACCGCTCGATTCACTCATCACCACCCTGCCACACAACTCCACAGACGGATCCCTCTTACTCAGCAAGTTATTTGTGCAAATTCACATTTTGCAAAAACCCGCATGTATTTTTCTTTAACATTAACCTAGCTTCCCAAAGCATCACTTCAGTTTCCAGCGCTACCGACGCACAGAGCAGCGGCTCGCCCCGCAGCCAGCCCCCTCCCCGCAGCACACGGCCGCAGGTGCCCCGGCCCTCCGCGATGGCGCCGTACCTTCCAGGCCAGCAGCAACACGTTCATGATGGCCAGCAAGGGGCAAGGGCCGTTCTCGTTCTGGGTGATGACGGGAGTGTTCTCCTCCTTCCAGCGCACCCACTTGATGTGGTACACCGACTGCCCCGGGAAGCGCTCCTTGGAGGCGGCGAGGAGCTGCGCGCCCGCGGCGGGCCTCTCCGCATCATGCCGCGGGGCCGGGCCCCCCGGGGCGGCCTCCACCGCCTCCTCGGCGTCGCTGTTGAGTTCGGAGCCGCTGGGGCAGCAGGAGTGCAGGTTGGAGAACGACTCCAGCGAGTCCAGGCTGCGGGACTCCTCCCCCGGGGGGCTGGCAGCCCCGCTACTCCCGGAGCCGGCCCCCGCCGCCGCCCCAGGGCTCTCCGGGAGCGTCGGCCCCGCGCTGTCGGCGCCCCGCAGGGGAGACGCGTCCCGAGGCCCTGCGGGGGCCGGCGGAGGGGACGGGCTGCGTCGCCCACCGCCCTCCTCACCGGGCCCGTCCCGGCAGCCGTCGCCGGCCGCCGCCTCTCCCGGGAGGAGCCGCTCGGTGGCGCCCCCGCCGCCGCTCTTTAGCGGGCCCGGAGGCGGCGGGGGCTGCGCCGGGCTCTCCATGCCCGGACCGGCGGCCACCCGGCTGCTCCGCGCTCTATTGGCACAGCGGCGGCCGAATCTCCACCGACGGATACCGAGACGCCATGACAGCGGCGGCGGCTCCGCCCCGCCGGGGACGCGTGGGCGGGAGCGGGGAGCGGCCGCGGGTCACGGCGGGGCCCGGGGCGGGGGCGCCCCTAGGGCGGGGCCGCGGCGGCCGTGGGCCGGGCCGGAAGGAGGGCGGCGAAGGGAATCGAGGGGAAGCGGACGGGAAGGGCGCACCGCCCCAGCACGAGGCCGGAAGGGGCGGCAGGAGGCGGGGCGGCCGGGCCCGCGGCTGTCCTGAAACACTGCGCGGGCCGCGCCGGGTGTCTGAGACGCAGGAGGGCACCTCGCCTCGTCCCGCCCTGCCCCGCCCGTGCAGCCACGGCCCCGCGCCTGCGCAGAATGGGCGGCGCGCGGCGCCCTGCCCGGCGGGGCTGAGGTAGAGCAGGGCGCGGCCGGACCGGACGCTGTCCCGCACTGCCGGGTTTCGCTTTCTGTGGGGGTGTGGGAGCTGTTTTATTGCGGCTGTTAAGCGTCTCTTTCAATGGTGAGGGCGGCTGTGGTGAAGATGACGATTTCAGAGCTAACGCAGTCACACAGAATAACGGAGGTATTTTCTCCGCCCTGTAGCTGCCCACGCCCTTTGGTCGCTCGCACAGTGTGAGCGCACTTTGGGGAGGGCTCACCGTGCTCCCGTTCTCGCTGTTCTCACACCTGGCTCCGAGGTCCGCTCGCCGCAGCGGGGTTTCCCACACGCAACTTTCTTGGGGAACCGAGAAACCAAGTTCCGTAGATCCGGTTTCATCACAAACTTCTCCCGCGTCGTGGGAAGGGCGGTTCTGAGGAGAGAAGCGGAACGGAGATGGAGTAGGGGAACCTTTAGGGCCGCTCCCGACCTCCCCGCTCCGCTGCGGGCCACGCGCGTTCAGCGACGCCGCGCCGAACGCCGAGAGGCTTTCAGCGCCGTGCGGCGGAGGTGCGGCCCGGTCCTCCTCCCCCGCGGGGGGGCGCCCTGCGTCTTTAAGGCGGGCGGCGCTCTCGCCCTCGCTCCTGCTTGGCTCCGCCCCCTTCGTGTCGCGGAGCAGTGGGACACGCCCAGAGCGCGCGGCGGCGGCGGCCCCGCCGGTGGCGTCTCTCGGACTGGTGCGGGGAAGGAAGCGGCGCGGGGAAAGCGCCGGGTGCGGCTGCCGCTCGGTCCCAGAGATCCGCGGGCGGAAGCCGAGCGGCCCCCGGAGCGTGGGGACAAAACGGCGGGAGGCGAGCAGCTCGCCCCTCCCTATCCCGGCGCCGGCCGGGGCGGATGCGTTGCGGGTAGGCGGCGGCGGGGCCTGGGCCCGGCGAAGATGGATCTGGCGAGGACGATAATCCTGCTGTGCTCCTGGGCGGCAGGCGCCGGAGGTGAGGGGTGGCCTGGCCCGCTTGGACCGCGGGGCCTCGGCTGGGACGCGGCCTTCCGCCTCCGCCTTTCTCCCTTTCCTTCCCTGGGGCGCCGGGCCCTCTCCCCGGGGCGGCGGGCCGCCCCCCCTCGGCTGGGCCCGCTCTGCTCATTCCGTCTCGGTGCTCCCCCTGCGGCTGGCCCGGTGCCCGAGCCCCGCTGCCGGCACGCGCTCCGGGAGGCCGAGGCGGCCGTCGCCTCCTTTCTTCGCTGCGCCGTTCTCCTTTCCCTCTCCCCGAGCTGCCGCGCTTCCCCCGGCGCTCCGCTTCCTCGGGACTTGGTGGTGCTGTGGGCCGTTTCCCTCCCGTCCGACTGCCTCTTTCCGCCTCGCCTTGGGGAGCAGCCTGCCGGGCCGGGCCGTGCGGGGTGACGGACGGAGGAAGCGGCCGTGCCCTCGGGACGCTGTGCCCAGCCCTAGGCCGGGGGAAACCCTGTTTCTGGGTTCTGACACTGAACGGGAAGTTTGGACGGGCTCCCGCTGCGGGTGCTTCTCGGCGTTCGGGAGCTGTGGGGTAACGTCCCGACCCGTTCTGATAGCCTGTAACCAAGGTCGAGACGCGATAGGAAATACTTTCGGTTTTTCACGCGATTAGATTAGTGAAGTAGATTTCGGGGCTGTTTCCTGCACAGGATGGGTGGAGCGGCTGCTTATAGGGTTTCTTGTTTGGTTTCCTCTGTTTGGCTTGGCACTTCTCTTTATCCCGGCTTTCTGTGTATCAGCATGTCGGTTTGTGAACAAAGAGTTGACGCTGAATCCTGGCTTCTGCACGTTATCAAAAAGTAACATCAGAGCACAGGAGAAGTTCAGCAGGCTGTGCTTGTGGCAGTGAGGTGATGCTGTGATAATGGGCAAAGTCGTCTGCAGGAGCACAACTCATCCCGTTATTTATGTTGTTAGAAGCAAACAAAAGATTTTCTTCATGACTTTTTCCTTGTGACTCTTATTAAATTATTAAGAAAATTATTAGCATGCTTTTCAAGGCCTTCTTTTCTAAACTAAACTCCTGGCACTATTAATTCAGTGATTCATTAACAGTTGTGAGAGTTGTAGGCAGGCAGGTATGCTTCAGAGTTCACAGCATTTTAACTTGTCAGCTATGCTCTGCATATGTAGAAGTGACTTCATGAAACATATTTTGTTCTGGAAGTTTGCATTATAGTTATTTTCTTTGAGAAAACAATGGGCACCTTCAGTGTTCTTGGCATTAGGAAGTTATCCTTGTTTTAGTTGCATTCAGTGTTTAACAACACAGAGCAACCTTGAAACAGCTTGATAATGCTGGGTAGGAGCCTAGGAATGATGGCTGATCTGCATCTTGGCATAAAGCTTTCCTGGGGGAAGTTTATTGTGACTGTTGAAGTTCTTTTAATACTAGAAATATCTATTAGCTTCTAATTATGTTTCTATAATTTCTTAAGTACTACAAGTTATTACTGAAAAACAGAGTTCTTCATTTAAAAGACCTTCTTCTGGGAGTGTTAATCCTGGGGAAAAAGAAAAACATCAGGTTCATTGTTGTTATCAGTGTCACTGTGAGAACAATTCAAACTGGAAACAACTGGGAACAAAGGATACCTGTGCTCAGTTGTGTATGGCTCCTCTTGTGCTCACTGGTTCTCCTCAAATCCTGAAGCTAAGTAATACATCTCTTTGAAGGTGTATAGTTTGAAACCATGCAGGTACTTGAAATATAGAGTTTTCAAAATAAGTTCTTAGTCCGTACCTTTTTCAATTGTTCATCCGTACATCTAGACTGTGTTGTGATAGGAACATTTTTCTGAGATACCCGAGTGTGTTGAATCCTTTCAGAATTACTTAAGGCTTTGTCTATATGCTCTTGTTTGTGCTCTGTTTTAACAGTCTTCAGTTAATGTTAAATAGCACTAGATTAACAGGTCTGATGGCAAGCTTAATTCACAGTTTGTGCATCACAAAGTCAAGCTCTTAAAATATTAAGATACCATATAACTTTTACTTATGTACTGTTCTATTTGATGATTTATTTGAGGAGAAACATCAGAGTCATTTAATGCCTTAAAGAAATGTGTTTCAGTTAATTGGAAATCTGGAAGTCAAGTTAAAGAAGCTCAGTCAAAAGTGATCACTGTGTGAGTGAGGTGTACTGCAGTGTCTGTTATGTCTGTATAACCATCAGTTGGGGTTTATGGTTAGAGCAGGAGTTACCAGCAGGTCAGTTGGACAGGACCTGAAGCACTTCCTTGATCACATTCTGATATTAGATAACTTTGGGGGCTGCTCTAGAAGTTTGTTTCTTTACTGTCACAACTTTCATAAAGCAGGAATCCCAGCTGGTCACTTTGAATACCATTTCAGTAATGTGAAAAGAAATAGGAGAAAGGTAGAATTTATCTTAAATAGATGCATATATCTTATGCTTCTAGTACATAGTGCTTGGAAATTTTAGGCTTGCGTAAAACAATATATTAAGTGAATCTCTGTTCTTCTTTGACACTCTCAGACTGTGTGTCCAGAGATCTGTTTTCTGGCTATGATCTGTAATTTTGACAGGTATGAACAAGTTCTTAGTTGGGGGCAGTGTCCTTTGTGACTGTTTAATTGAACGCAACAAAAATGCATGCAAGTGTATTAAACAGTACATAATTGTAAATGGTGATGCTCTTTAAGGAATGGAAATAACTGATAAAACCTGTCTGAGGGTGATTTTTAGAAGTGTGGAAATAGTGCCAGGAAATGTGAAGAAAAGAGAGAATGAGACCCCAGAAGGCAAGAGTGGCCACACTCTGGCCTGGCTGGTCAGATGCTGATATGATTGCAAATACATTTGAAAGATATTCTGATACAATACGCTCCTCTATGTTTTAGGACATTTGAGCTTTTGTGTTTCAGTGCCTTGTGCTGCTGGATATTGAACAGTCTATTTCCTGCTGTGCACATGAGAAATTCTTTTCTGAACACATGAGGGAGTTGTGGGAAGGCGTTTATAAACTGTCAGCATCTGAGTGGTTAAGTCTGCATCTTTGCTATAGACGGAGAAGAACACCAGCCTTCATTAAAATGGCTTTCAGCCTTTAGCACGTATCTGGGATTTACAATTAAAGCACTTGAGATTTTATATGGCTGCATGAGATGGTGTCTGGTAAAGGCAGCTGTCAAGTTATTTCAGAAATGCCCATGGTGATTAAAAATGAATAAGATCAGGTGTATATATAGTAGTTTTGAAATATTGCCACCCAAGAACCTAAGGCTGCAGTGTATTATTGCTTTTAAAAGGATCTGAAGGTTCAGTGATGCAATAAGAAGGCGCCACTCTGTTGAGCTACTTACTGAGCTGGTGCTTGGTGGTCTTTCCCTGGTCATGCACTTCCACTGCTCCTCCTTTGCTCCCTCTGCTGTTTGATGGCATGAGGAGCCAATTCAGCCTGCTAACTGAAGTGGAAGAAATGACTACTTTCTTGCCAGACATTTAACCTTGCTGGTTTATTGTGCAGGAACAGGTTCAGGAAGAGCATAGGAATGGGGGAAAAGGAGGGTAAAAATGAAGCAGACATCAGTTACTCT